TATATATATATATATACATATATACATATATATATATATATATATATACACACACACATATATATATATATACATATATATATATATACATATATATATACACACACACACACACACACATATATATATATATATATATATATATATATATATACACATATTTATACATTTTTTTATAAACACAACACTTTTGTTTTTACTCCATTTTTCATAGATCTATGACTTTTCATGTACAAAACGGGCCTTTTTCTCTCAAACGTTCATTTTGTATTGAACGCTTTTTGAATTCTCAAACGTTCACAAATTTGTGTAAATCTGTGTTAGTGTGCACTTCTCCTTTGCAGAGAAACCGCAGACCACATGTAACCATGCCAGCCCAGTACCTCCACATCCAGCATCACCTCCAAGATCGTCAGAGACCAGCCACCTGGACAGCTGCTACAACAATCGGTTTGCAAAACCAAAGAATTTCTGCAGAAACCGTCAGAAACGTCAGGAAACCTCATCAAAGCTCATCTGCATGCTTGTTGTCCTCATCGGGGTCTCCACCTGACTACAGTTTGTTGATGTAACCAACTTGAGTGGACAAATGCTCACATTTGATGGCATCTTGCGTGTTAGAGAGGTGTCCTCATCATGGATGAATCCTAGTTTTCACTGTACAGGGCAGATGGCAGATGTATGGCGTTGTGTCACTGAGCAGTTTGCTGATGTCAACCTTGTGACTCAAGTGGCCCATGGTGGTGGTGGGGTTAAGTTATGGACAACAAACACAGGGGCTGGTGTTGTTACACATGGTCTGCGTTTGTGAGGCCGGTTGGATGTACTGCCAGATTCTCTGAACATGGACATTCCTGCAGTCAGCATGCCAATCACACGCTCACTCAAAACGTGCAACATCTGTGTCATTGTGCTGTGTGTGATAAAACTGCACATTTTAGAGTGGCCTTTTATTGTGCTCAGCCTTTAAGGCACACCTGTGCAACAATCATGCTGTATAATCAGCATCTTGATATGCTACACCTGTGAGGTGGATGGATTATCTCAGTAAAGGAGAAGTGCTCACTTACACAGATTTATACAACTTTGTGAAGAATATTAGAGAGGAAAAGGCTTATTGTGTGCATAGAAGAAGTCTTAGATCTTGAGATCAGCTCATGAAACATGGGAGCAAAAACAAAAGTGCTGTGTTTAAATTTTTATTCAATGTATGACAGTGGCCAGCTTGTTTTTTGATGTGGCAACTGAATTTTTGAAAGTGACCTTTCTTACTCCTAGATGCTGCCATACACCACAATGAAAGTCGGTACCTCACTTATTTGTCAAGTTATGCTCATAGTGCAGATGGACGGAGGGTATTTCCAATCCCACTCATCACTCTGCAATGGGTGACAAAAATGTGGAATCACAACCCAAACTGGCCTTCACATTAAAAATGTTTGTTAGAAATGCCCAATTATACAGTAATGTATTTGTATTAGTACTTGGTTTTTGTCACCCATTTAAAAACATAAAAATGCAATTTCCTAAAAACAAAATACAGCTTGAAAACGAAAAAATATCAAGAAAAAAATGTGGTACCACTTTACAGTAAGGCTTCCCTTATAGATGGCTAATAAATAATTTATAGATGCGTTATTAATTCCTCTATAAACACTTTATAAATCATTAATAACAGCTTATTATGCATTAATTAAGGGTGGCAGAGAAAAAACTGACCAGTTTCTTGCCAAATAGTGAGCCAAATCTGCCACCTACAATATTTTTCAGCCTATAAGTTGCAGGGTTTTTTTTGCAGAATTTGCATGCCCTGCGACTTATACACCAAATTGAAGTAATATGGATTTTTTTTTCCATATTTATAAACCAATTTTTGGTTGAAATATGACATTTTCATTCATTTGGACTGAAAATATTGAACACTACCATTTTCAGATGGTACTCGAGTAGTATGGCATGCCATTGTATCATGTAATAGGTAAAAGTGGATATTAATGAAACAGTTGGCTTGCCATAGAAGCCACCTTCATCCAGCTCGCTTGGAGCAACCGTCAAACCAACTTCCTTTCGCTGAGCCACCCCGGCGAGATGCAGCTGATTTGACCATTGAAGTGCATTTATTACATAAAAGTTCAACTGAGACACACCTTTGCTATAAAGTTGAGCTAACAAATAATTGTTTTAGGCGTTTATCTTGTTAAATTTCGAAGAAATGCACAGCGACTCGTCCCTCTGCGTGTTCATGTTTCCGTGTATTGGCTTTTGAAAATGCAGCTGATTTGACCATCAAAGTGCATTTATTAAGGAAAAGTAAGACTGAAACACACCTTTACTATAATTTCGAGCAAACAAATAATTGTTTTTAAGTGTTAGTCTTGTTAAATTCTTGTTCAAGTCCTATTGTGCACGCTCCTGAGGCGGCCATTTAGCAGCCAATCGATTTTTGGCACAACACCAGCCCACATTTCCGGGTTGTCAGTGGTGACACGTAACAAGCGCAACACATCAGCGGTGACGCATAATAGATGTGAAATATACGGCGAAGCGACATATTTATGGATTTTTCCACTTTATTAGACATATTTGGACTGATGCAACTTATAAGGGGAGCCTTATTGTAAAGTGGTACCGAAAATGTCAGTTAATTGACACATTTTATTATTACAAAATGCTTAAAACAGGAAGACTGAAAAAAATATTTTTATTGTTCGAACCTCCAACTTTATTTTCTAAAAGGTTTGTTCTTTGTAAGCAATACAAGGAGCTCAAATAGAGTGTGAACTATCTTTGTTGCACAAACAGAAAGAGGAAAAACAAACCAAAGTTTGTTAACTTTGTTATAATCATTTTTGTGTTGGGTAAGGTCGATAAGCTGTGGCGGCCAGCTTGTGGTGGTTGAATCCATAAGTTACTCCATTGTAGAGCTCCATTACGTTCTTAGAGTTTCATTAAAATCAAACCCACAAACAGGCACAATAACAGCAAAAAAAAATTAAATATTGACTTCAGTGGGGGGTGATAGACAGATTTTTGTTTTTGGGTAACTGGAACAATTATCTAGAAGCAATAAAGTTTTCAAAGCCTCAACAAATAAAACTAGCCTTTATTTGAGCTCATTTCAGCTCAGCTGGCGAGATCAGAGATCATGCCAATGGTTCTGAGCCCTTAATGACCACATCTGGCTGCTGCAGCTGGAACTCAGTCTGCAGCTGCCTGCAGGCACCGTTGTGGTTACTGAGTCACGGTGAGAACTGGCTGCAGGATTGGTGAGCCTGGTGATAAAGTGAATACTTGATTTGTTTTCCATCATCTCTGTGGTACAATGAATAAACCAGTAAGAAGGCACTGCACCTGGGTTGTAGTGGAAGATGATGTTGAGGAGGTCCTGGTCACCCCAGGTGATGTGGTTCTTGTATTTCTGGTAAAGTGGGTGGAGAAGATCCTCCCATGACAGACCGCTGAGAATCAGGCTATTCTGTAATAGCAGAAGAAGAAAATGCAGCTCAATAGCAGCCTTAAACACATGATCATCAGAGGAGGTGCACATTTATATTCCACTTTGCTGCCAGTGAAGCAGCTAAAATGAGCTCTGGGCAACGAGTCTTGATGATGCCGTGGTAATCTTGAAAGCTTCCATCACAGGGACTTGGAGCACTCAGCCTTTGACTCAAGCACAAAGAAACCAATCCTTGAAAATGCAAAAGAGAAACCTCCACCCACTTTAGCCCCCGACTAATCAGTGTGGGGAAATAAGAGTCGCCCACTCACCTTAAACAGCGTGCTGCGGATCCGTGTGAGATTCATCAGCATGACGCCGGAGTTGACCCCCGTGTCTCCATAGAACGGGTGCCGGGCAAAGCGGCTGTACCAGCCAATCTTTGGCACCTCATGCTCCGGGGCCATCGCAGCCAGCTGGGTGCTGTTGAAGGCCTTCAGGAGCAGCCAGATGTCATCCATGGGCCGCAAGAACAGCACATCTGTGTCCACATAAAGTAACGAATCCACGTCTTTCAGGATGACCTGGGGGTACAGTTCATGTCAGTTTAACACAAGACACCAAAGTGACATTTGCAACTTTGTCTGACCGCTGGGCACAAAAATAGAAATACACTAGAATGACATGAAGTTTGTCTCTGTCCATCTATGATAGACCTGCCATTTTGATCAGTCTTTGAAAATTACATGATGAAGGGTTGTTTGTCATGCATACACATCAAACATATTCACACAGAATCTGCTGGAGCTTGGGGTATGTGCTGTCAATGGCTGTCAGCTTTTACCAGATCAATACTTAGCTTGATATCTGTAAATTCAGCTGAGTTGAGGGCAGTTTTGTGTTTTCTGTGGCAGGTGATAAATATGCTGCCTCTTGTGCCTAAACGAACAACAAATGGCACAATTGCAAGGTTATGATTTTATTACATGTATGAAATGATACAATGATACCAAACCCTGAGGAATGATACAGCTTCAGATCATTCAGTATACTGTACAGTAATCCAGCCATCCCCAAATGGCGGACCTGGGTCCGAATCCGGACCGAGTGATGGTTCTGTCCGGACCTGTGCCCAATCTGATAAATTCATGAAAATAAATAACTTTCATGGAGCATTTTTCCAGCGATAGACAGCTTAGGTGCAGAGCCAAGCAGAGACGAAGGAGGTTCACTCTTGTCCAGTTATTCCAGTAACAGCGTCACTCAGTTTAGCCAATCAAATCTTTTGTTTTCCTGTGAGCTCAGCAGAGCAGAGAAGAAGAGATCGAAGAGACAGCATGTCGTGCCCCAAAATAAGAAAAGTTGATGCTGAAAACTGTTTTAAAGATGAATGGACAGATAAATTAATGTTCATTCTTCCAGCAGGCAGTTCAAAACCTGTTTGCCTAATTTGCTCCGAAACGGTCGCATTAATTAAAAGCGGCAACGTGAAGCGCCACTATAAAACAAATCATATCTCTTTTGAGCAACGTTATCTGCTGAAGTCCGAGCAGAGAGCAGTAAATTAACCGAACTGCAAGCCCAGTATGACAGATCCACCTTACTCATCACAAATACTTTTACAGCCCAGCAGCTGCTGAACGTTCACTCAAGGTATCGTGGATTTTGGGGCAACATAAAAAAACATTTAGTGATGGGACAGTCATGAAGGAGTGCTTAAATGCTGTTGCTGAGACTTTTGATGGAAAACAAAATGACGAGATGTGTGAAACAAATCAAACAAATCCCGATGTCAGCTTCAACAGCAGCAGAAAATCAGAAATATTAGCAGATGATGTGCTGGCACAGCTGTTCAGAGTCATCGATGAGTCGACAGATGTTACTGATGATGCTCAGCTACATGAGAATGGCACCGACTCCAACCAAGATTTAAATTACTGGCAGGAAAATCCCATGACCATTTCTCTCATTAAGAAATGTAAAATAAAGAATAATCAAAAGAGAAAAAGTGTTAAATGTTCAGTTTTCAGTTGTTTTTTTTAAGAGGCATTCTTATTTATTGTTTTCTGAAGATGTTGACATGTTTTAACTGAAAACTTAATTTTTTATAGGTTGGTACCTCTTTAAGAAAAAAAGAAAAGAAACATGTTTGCTTGCTCTGTTTGCACTTGTTCTTTTTTTAACTAAAAGAGCAACTTTTTTACTGTTTTCTGTTTAAAGATGTTAACTTTTTTACTTAAGTGTAAGTCTTCAATTCTTTAGGCTTGGACCTCTTCAGTTTAAAAGAAGAAGGCTTATTAGATTCTGTTTGCACATTTAATATGTATTTTATTCTGAGCTTTCAGTTGTACTCTGAAATAAAGGCCCTAAATTTATTTGTCTGGGATACATGGTAAATATGGTAAAACAGCAAGTTATTTACTATAAAGTGCAGTTTGTTAACTGTGACAAAAGGAACTTACAGGAAGGCAAGACTATAAAAGACATAAGTTGGACTTTCGTTTGGACTTTTACTAGGAGGAAATTTCTGTAACTGGACCTCAGTGAGTTTAAATTGAATACCACTGCAGTAGTCCCTCGCTACTTCACCGTTCGACTTTCGCAGACTCGTTCTTTCGCAGTTTTTCAATGATCGTCAACCTTAATATTACTCACATGATTAGGAAGGTACGAGAAAAAAGTTAACGGAATAAAAAAACTTCAGACAGGCTCTGCAATTTTGCAGTTTTCTTTCAATAAGCCTACACTGTATCACAAGTCAAAAGAACAACATTACCCAGAAGCCAACAGTGCTTCCTGCCGCTGCTTTCTGCCAAAATGGAAGGAAAGTTTTGATCCGATCGGAGCCTGACTAAAATGTTTGATCCTTATTCATAGTGACTTCGGTGCTCAGTGGATGCAGAGAGCCATACGGAACTGGACCAAGGCTGGTGAGTACCCATATAACATTTTGCAATACTGTGCAGTACGTATCAGAGTCAAAGAGTCAGAGATTCTTTATGTACACAGGGTCCCTGTTACATCCATCCATTATCTTTTACCCGCTTATTCCATTTTGAGTCACGGGGGTCACCGGTGCCCACGTCCAGCAATCACTGTGCGACGGGTGGGGGACACCCTGGACGGGTTGCAAGTCCATCACAGGCACACATAGAGACAAACGAGACAAACAATCATTCACTCTCTCACTCACACCTAGGGACAATTTAGAGTCACCAATCAGTCTAACATGCATGTTTTTGGTCTGTGGGAGGAAACCGGAGTACCCGGAGAAAACCTATGCATGCACGGAGAGAACATGCAAAAGCAACCCAGAAAGGCCTCCGGACCGGGATTTGAACCAGGGACCTGCTCGCTAAGAGGCAGCAGTTGCGCCACCGTGCTGCCTCCCAGTTACATGCAACAATAAAAATGTAAAAGAAAAACAATGATAACATCTAAGATATGAACTAAGAAAAACATCAAATAAATATGCACTAAGCACTAATAGCATAAAAACATTACATCGAACAGCAGCACAAACATGAATCTGTGTAAGCAGATGAGCACGCATGAACACATCAACATGAAACAGATCAGCAGCAACATGATATGGTTTTTCACAGTGATTTTTCTGGTTAGAGATTCATGAGTCTAACAGCCTCAGGGTAGAAGCTGTTCCTCAGTCTAGTGGTTCTACACTTAATGCTCCTCAACCTCATTCATGAGGGGAGCGGGGCAAAAAGTGTGTATGCTGGGTGAGAGGGTCCTTCATGATGCAGGTGGCCCTCTTCCTGCATCTGGAGGTGTAGATGTCTGTGATGGTGGGGAGACTGACTCCAACAGACTTCTGTGCAGCCTTCACCACTCTCTGCAAAAGCTTTTCTTTCTGCAGCTGTGCAGCCTCCATGCCACACGTTGATGCTGGAGCACAGGATGCTCTCCACTGCACACCTGTAGAAGGAGGTGAGGACTGAGCTTCCCAGATCATCTCGTCTCAGTCGTCTGAGGAAGTAGAGTCTCTGATGAGCTTTCTTGATCAGGCTGGTAGTGTTGTTGCTCCAGATGAGGTTGTCATTTATGTGTACACCCAAGTACTTGTAGCTGGAGACCACTTCCACCGCAGATCCTCTTATGTTCAGGGGGGTGTAGGTGTTTTTGTTCCTTCTGAAGTCCACAATCATCTCCTTTGTCTTCTTCACATTGATGTGAAGGTTATTCTCTTTGCACCAGCTCTCCAGGTGTTCCACCTCTTGCCTGTAGCTGGACTCATCATTGTTTGTGATGCATCCCACCACCGCTGTATCATCTGCAAACTTTACAATGTGACAGCCTGGATGGGTAGCTGCACAATCATACGTGAGCAGAGTAAACAGGAGGGGGCTCAACACACATCCCTGAGCAGAGCCAGTGCTGAGGGTTATGGTGGAGGAGGAGAAGTTGTGGATCCTCACTAACTGTGGTCTGTTTGTTAAGAAGTCTAGTACCCAGTTGGAAATGGAGGGGCTTAGTCCTAGTGTGAATAGTTTGTCCATCAGGGTTTGGGGGATCATGGTGTTGAAGGTAGATGTGAAGTCCACAAAGAGCATACGGACGTAAGAGTTTTTCTGCTCCAGGTGGTTGAGTGCAGTGTGGACCACAGAGGAGATTGCATCCTCTGTTGATCGGTTCTCACGGTATGCATACTGATGAGGGTCCTCGTTGATGTTGATGGTTGTTTTGATGTGAGTCATGACCAGTTTTTCGAAGCATTTAGCGACTATCGGGGTGAGGGCCACTGGCCGATAGTCATTCAGACCAGACACTGTGGAGTTTTATGGGACTGGGATCATGGTGGCAGTCTTCAGGCAGGTGGGAACTGTCTCCAGGGTAAGTGAGGTGTTAAAGATGTCTGCCAGCACCTCGCAGAGCTGATCAGCACATTCTTTCAACACTTTTCCGGGGATGTTGTCTGGGCCGGCCTTGTGCGGATTAATCCTCGTGAAGATACTCCTCACTTCTGCTCAGGTCACGCTGAGATGCTCTTCATCCGGTGGTGAGGTGAGTCTGGTGCTGGGTGGTCTGTTTGGGTCTTCAAAGCACGCATAGATCTTGTTGAGGGCATCAGGCAGAGATGGGTCTTTGGGGCATTGTTCACTCCTTCCATTCTAATCTGTTATGCACTTAATGCCTCTCCACATGCTCTGAGGGTCTTGTGAGGTGAATTGACCCTCGATCCTCTGTGCATATGTGGCCTTGGCACTCTTAATACCAGCAACCAGCTCTTTCCTTGTCCTACTCAGCGCCTGTGAGTTTCCAGACCTGAAGGCAGTGTCCCTGGCTTCCAGCAGGATGTGCACCTCTGCATTTAGCCAAGGTTTTCTGTTTGGGTAGCTTTTAACATATCTGACGGTGGAGACGGTGTCAGTACATGTACTAATGTAACCCAGTACTGAGGATGTGTATTGGTCCATATCAAGCGATCCTCCATTTTCAGCAGCTTCTCTGAAAACCTGCCAGTCTTTTCGTTCAAAATAATCTCTCAGTATGGGGCCACTGTCCTGGATCCAACATTTAACTTTCTTTTATACATATACATATGTTGTTAAAATTAGTAGGTTTAAGA